CAGCTACCCCAGGTGTGTCCCTGTAGATTACGGTGGGGATGTGGTAATCTGAGACCTGCCCCTGCTGAGGGGGCTCTCCACGCCTTCTCCGACCTGCTGCCCTCCTCCTTCCTCTCCCCTGCAGGTCCTGCACATGTCAGAGCTCCTTCGCCGGGGCCTGGGTGTGCACCACAGCGGCATCCTGCCCATCCTTAAGGAGATCGTGGAGATGCTGTTCAGCCGAGGGCTGGTCAAGGTGAGCAGGTGGGTGAGAGGGGCCAGACTTAGGCAGGACAGTGCAGTGGTTAAGAACCTGGGCTCTGGATCCAAGCTACCTGGGTTTGAATTCCAGCTTCAGAATCCTACTGAACTCTAGGTTTCTCACCTTAACCGTAAATGGAGATGTATATGATACATCGCAAGAGGTCCCGAGAAGAGAAGCCTCCGCAGCGGGCAAGCACAGGAAAAGTCGCTAATAGTTAGAGAGCCGCTTTCAGGGAACGCAGCTGTACACTGGTGAGGGCGGCCGCTGCATTCAGGAAGCCCGCTAACTGCATTGTGGCCAGAGATGTAGGCCGTTGCCAGTTTGCCATTGTTTGGCATCCAAGTACTGCTGCTGTTTTTCTGTCTTGGTGCTATTTAAGCAAATTAAATATAGTATACTTTTTGACACTAAGAGTCATTCTTGTGTATTTATGGCAAAGAAATTCCACCTTGGTCTATGAGGGAACATACACATTTGCTTTGTTCTCTATGGTCCTGTTTATGATGACAGGACTCAGATCTCAAGCCTGTGCTTCTGGGGGACCAGGGCCGAAAGGCTGGCTGAGAAACAGAATGCCCTTGACTGGGACAGTGGCTAGGTAAATTAGGGGGTGTCCTCCATAGAGACGCATCACCTACCCCAGTCACAAGCAATGACTGATAAAACCACAAGAACATGGATGGATGTGGGAAGCAGAAAACAATCAGATGTATAGCTGCATCTGTGTGAGCTAAATTATACAAGCACAAAGATGCTGGTTAAACACAGTTCCAGCTGGGGATGGAGGTGGGATGTGGGAGCTAAAGTAAAAAACTAGGTAATTACCTAAGCGGAATGAGGAAAACTGCCTGCACTGTGGGTCTTCCTGGAGAGGTAAAGGATGTCCTGTAGACAGTGATGTGAGACCAGGCTCCACGGTGGGGTGAGCGCTGTCAGAGTGGGGCATATACAGGACCTTTTTGCTGATCCAGTCTCCCCCCCCCCGTCCCAGGTCTTGTTTGCCACTGAGACCTTTGCCATGGGGGTGAACATGCCGGCGAGGACAGTGGTGTTCGACTCCATGCGCAAACACGATGGGTCCGCCTTCCGGGACCTGCTGCCTGGGGAGTACGTACAGATGGCAGGCCGGGCGGGCCGGAGGGGCCTGGACCCCACAGGCACCGTCATCCTGCTCTGCAAGGGCCGAGTGCCCGAGATGGCAGATCTACACCGCATGATGATGGTGAGTAGAGCGATGGGAAGCCCAGCTGGGCGCAGCTCCAGCACCAAATCCGTTAGCCCAACTCTCTCCTCTTCTGACGTTTTCCTTGTCCTGGGAGAAGTCAAGTTAAAAGTGAGCAAGTCTAGCTGGGCGGTGGTGGCGCACGCCTTCAATCCCACACAGGGAGGCAGAAGCAGACAGATCTCTTGAGTTGAGGCCAGCCTGGTCTACAGAACAAGTTCCAGGACAACCAGGGCTACACAGAGAAACCCTGTCTCGAAAAACCAAAAACGAAAAAAAGTGAGCAAGTCCAAGGAGGCCCCCACTTCCTCTTGCTTTACTGCTCTCTGGGTGTGGGGCCCAATGGGGGCCTTTGGGAGTCTGTGTCTTTCATTTTGTCCCCTTATGTTACCGAGGAGGTGAGCAGGGGGTTGGTCTGAGGCCTCATGGGTGCAGAAGATGGCTGGGGTGTGCAGGTCTCACTGGCTCTGGCTCCAGGGGAAGCCGTCCCATTGGCTGGGGTGCGCAGGTCTCACTTGGTCTCACTGACTCTCTGGCTCCAGGGGAAGCCGTCCCAGCTTCAGTCCCAGTTCCGCCTCACATACACCATGATCCTCAACCTGCTGCGGGTGGATGCCCTCAGAGTGGAAGACATGATGAAGAGGAGCTTCTCAGAGTTCCCGTCCCGCAAGGACAGCAAGGTGAGGAGGTTAGGGCAGCCAGCCTAGCAAGCAGGTCAGAGCTGGCCAGTGGGGTGGGTATGGCCAGGAAGGGGTGGGTATGGCCAGTGGGGTGGGTATGGCTAGGAAGGGGTGGGTATGGCCAGTGGGGTGGGTATGGCTAGGAAGGGGTGGGTTTGGCCAGTGGGGTGGATATGGCCAGGAAGGGGTGGGTATGGCCAGAGGGGTGGGTATGGCCAGAGGGGTGGGTAGGAGTAGAGAGGACTGGGCTTGCAGACTTGTTACAACCCCCCCTTCTACTCAGGCCCATGAGCAGGCTCTGGCTGAACTCACCAAGAGGCTGGGGGCCTTGGAGGAGCCTGACGTGACTGGCCAACTGGCCGACCTGCCTGCCTATTACAGCTGGGGGGAGGAGCTGACAGAGACCCGGAGCATGATCCAGGTAAGGAAGTGCGGATGTTGGGGAGATGTAAGAGGGACAGTGGCTCACACTGGTGCTCCTAAACTTAGTCCCAGTGTCCTGGTCTCACATCTTCCCATGTCCCCTTGTGCCTGTCCTGCTCTCCAGAGATGCATCATGGAGTCTGTGAACGGGCTGAAATCTCTCTCGACGGGAAGGGTTGTAGTTGTGAAGAATGAGGAGCACCACAATGCGTTAGGTGTGATCCTGCAGGTGAGCACAAGAGGGTCCTCACCCCCAGAGAATGGAGGCTTGGCACTGCCTCCCCCGGGGCTGGCATGTCATGACTCTGGAGTGCTCATCTTCGCTCCTGTCACCACTTTGTGCCTGTCTCCGTGCCTGGCCCCCGAGAAACTCCTCTAGTTACTTGGCTTGGCCACCCACCCCTCCACAGTTCAAGGGCTCTGTGGGGGAGGGGGTCCCAACCCCTGCCCAGGGTGGGCATACCATGTCCACATTTGGTGTGCATGCCTCCTATAGGTCTCCTCAAACTCCACCAGCAGAGTATTTACAACACTGGTCTTATGTGATAAGCCTGTTGCGTCTGGGAGCCCACGGGACAAGGGGCCAGCCACTCCAGATGTGCCCCACCCGGATGACCTTGTGGGCTTCAAGCTGTTCCTGCCCGAAGGTGAGTTCCTGATGGTGGTGTGAACAGGATGCCTGGGCTGTGGCGAAGCCTGACCTGATTGGCTTTGCAGGGCCCTGTGAGCACACTGTGGTCAAGCTCCAGCCAGGAGATGTGGCTGCCATCTCCACCAAAGTGCTCCGGGTGAATGGGGAGAAGATCTCTGAGGACTTCAGCAGGAGGCAGCAACCAAAATTCAGGTCAGAGACTTGGGGAACCTTTTTCCAGGGAGGGGCATGTACCAGTGGGTGTGCATGTACAAAAAGATCATGAAATGGGGTGCTGAGGGACTTCCTCAGCTCCAGGGGAGGCTCCTGGAGCAAAGAAGACTCTTGGTCCAGATCACAAAACCTGCTCCCTCTTCAGGAAGGACCCTCCCCTTGCAGCTGTGACCACTGCAGTTCAGGAGCTGCTGCGTCTGGCTCAGGCCCATCCATCAGGACCCCCAACCCTTGACCCCGTCAATGACCTGCAGCTCAAGGATGTGTCAGTGGTAGAAGGTGGACTCCGGGCCCGGAAGCTGGAGGAGCTGATCCGGGGGGCTCAGTGTGTGCACAGCCCCCGGTTCCCTGCCCAGGTAGGGCCTAAGCAGAGGCAGCTTTTCCTCCCTGGTGCCCTGTAGCCTGGGTACTCCTCCCTCAGCCCTGTGCCCAGTGCACCCCTGCTGAGGGTAAGGGGGGCTAATGGTCCCTGCTGTGGCTTTCTTTAGTACCTGAAGCTGCGGGAGCGAATGCAGATTCAGAAGGAAATGGAGAGGCTGCGTTTCCTACTGTCCGACCAGTCACTGTTGCTGCTCCCCGAGTACCACCAGCGTGTAGAGGTAAGAGCAGGATGGGGCGTGTGAGGTCAGGGAAGCTTGGAGAGCAGTCAGGCTCCCAACCTCACCCTTTCTTGCAGGTGCTCCGGACCCTGGGCTATGTGGATGAGGCAGGCACAGTGAAGCTGGCTGGACGAGTGGCCTGCGCCATGAGCAGCCACGAGCTGCTCCTCACCGAGCTCATGTTTGATAATGCACTGAGCACCCTGCGCCCGGAGGAGATTGCAGCTCTGCTCTCTGGCCTGGTCTGCCAGAGCCCTGGCGACCCTGGGGATCAGCTCCCAAGCACCCTCAAACAGGTAGGGCCATCACCCCTCTCTTTGTGTGCATCCCCACCCCCACCCTCTCTACCCAGTCCTGGTAGATGCCTCCCAAGGTATGCAGCCTCCTCCTGATCAGGGCCTTCCTGGTCCTGGTCCTGGAGGCCTTGACCTCTCCTTACTCTCTGCAGGGGGTCGAACGTGTCAGAGCTGTGGCTAAGCGGATTGGTGAGGTTCAGGTGGCCTGTGGCCTGAACCAGACAGTGGAAGAATTTGTGGGAGAGCTGAACTTTGGGCTGGTCGAGGTTGTGTATGAGTGGGCTCGGGGTATGGTGAGTGCCTGGGTTTGGCAGGCGGCTGGCTGGGAAAGGTTGGCCAGGCCTGGCACATTTAGTCTTCTCTCTGCTGTCCCCATAGCCCTTCTCCGAGTTGGCAGGGCTCTCAGGGACCCCTGAAGGCTTGGTGGTCCGTTGCATCCAGCGCCTGGCTGAGATGTGTCGCTCGCTTCGTGGAGCAGCCCGTTTGGTAGGAGAGCCTGTGCTGGGCGCCAAGATGGAGACAGCAGCCACCTTGCTGCGGCGGGACATTGTCTTCGCAGCCAGTCTCTACACCCAGTGAAGCGGTGTTGGATAAAAGTGTAACAATAAAACAGCAAACCAGAGTGCTTGGAGTACGGGGCAGGGATGACTCTATTCAGACACAGCAAGAGACCTGCTTAGAAACACGCTTTTATTATCCGAATAGACCAGACTGGTGTGTCCTCTGAAGCCTCAGTCCTTGGGAGAGGGAGTCTTTGAGAGTGCTGGGGGGTCTTGAGTCATAGCCTCCACATACCATGTGGGCAGGAAGGCATAGGGCGCATCCCGATGGACAGACACAGTGACTGGGCCACCAGGTTCCCAGGAGAAGAGGTGGACAAGCCTGGAGGAAGAAGGAGGAGTAGGGTGAAGCCCGAGACTGAGCTGAGATCCAGAGGTGGTGCACAGACCTGAAGTCCTTACCTGGGGTCATCCTGGACAACTGTGCTCTGGGCAAAACTAAGGAAGGCAGCACAGAAGTTCATGCACACAGAGGGGTTCCAGCCTTCTCGGTCATTCTGGGGGGACAGAAGAGGCAGGAGACTGTGGGGGTGGGAGGAGGGGACGGCAGATGGCAAAGGGACCCCGGACCTGAGGTCCTGGCATTGGGGCGGGGGGAGGCAGCTGTGACACCTTACCCTGACGTTTTCAAACATCTCCATGGTAGAAAAGGTCTTTAAGGAACAGACGAAACCTTCTGGGTTCCGGAAGCCAGCGACAACATGTGGGACCCCGGGGAGGAAGGACTGAGCCCACCATTTCAGAAGCTTGTGTCTGACAGGAGAGGCAAAGGGTCAGCCGGACCCCCCCCCCCCCCAGGCCGCAGCTTTCCATCCTAGGTGCTCCTGTTCACCCCGCCCGAACCTGTAGAAGCTCCTCCACTGGCCAGGACTGTGCATCTCCTTGGAGGTCTTGAGCTCCACATAGCAGGCGGGGGGCTGTGTGGACGGGGCCTGGGGGTCTGTGCAGTCCACCTCCCCGGAGAAGAGCAGAGGGTGGTTTCCCAGGCGGCTGCGTAGCACAGAGCAGAAGGCCACGTTGGTGTTGACCTCCCCAGAGGGGTCTGGGGGGCCTCCAGGTTTGTCTGTACAAGGAGAGAAGCAGCAGGGAAGGACTCTGGCCCTCTGAGGACGGGGAAGGGGGCCACACAGCAGGGACAGCTCTCACCTGCACACATGTACTGCTCAAATTTGTAGCCCATGTACATGAGCTCCCGGAGGAGGGGTGGTCTAGCAAGCCTCTGGGCCCGAGCAGCTGGGGTCTCCACCTCACTCAGGTACAGGGTCCCTTGGAACCGAGAGGCTGCCAGCTGCCAGCCCTCCTGCCGTTCATATGGTGTGGTCAGCAATTTCGTCAGGTGTCCTCGCCATGTCACTGTGGCCCCTGCCAGCCAGCCTGGACCCCTGAGGGGGGAGAGTTTGGGGCTAACGGTCTGACCCAAGCCTTGGTTCAGCTGAGCCCAAGTCCCCCTAAAGGCCATCTGGCTCTCCTGACTTCAGGAGATAAAAAATGGGTCTCCAGATGAGTGTGCTGTGCCTCGCTCACCCCAGCTGGTGTCGGTGTTCCAGAACCCAGCGTAGCAAATGGTCCAACCTCTCTTGGACTTCCTCATCCCGGGGCTGGTATCTATCAGGGTATCCATCTCTGAGGTCAAAGTCCGGGCCTGGACCGTTGATGGGGGGTGGGCTGTAGTAGCGGAGGGCTCGGGCATCTCCATGGTACTGGCGTTGTGCGTCCAGGGAGAAGCAGCCCAATTCGGAAGGGCGCCGGTAGAAGGGAAAGGGTCCAGAGTACAGAGAAGGCTCTGTGCGCAGTGAGGACACTGAATGCGGGAGTTTGTTCGGAGGCTCTGCCGCCTCTGGCGTCTCAGCTTTTCTCTTGGTCCCTCTGGGCTCCATGAGGTCCTGAGATGAGAAGTGTTTGCATTTTAGGGTGGACGAGGACAGAGGGAGCCCAGCGCCGTGCAGCAACTCCCCCTCCTCATTCGAGAGCTGAGCGCCTCTTACCCATCCACGGCCACCCAAACGCGGCGAGGCTAAGAAGTTTGGGCTTAGCAGCGCGGAGGTGGCGCACACCTTTGATCCCAGCACTTGGGGGGGGGCAGAGGCAGGTGGATCTCTGAGTTCGAGGCCAGCCTGGTCCACAGAGCGAGTTCCAGGTCGGCCAAGTATAGAGCGAAATCCAGGACAGCCAAGGCAGAGAAACCCTGTCTCGAAAAACAAAAACAAAACAAAAACCCGCTTGGGCTCAGAGCAAAGATCTGGTTACCTCAAAGCTCCCAACCCTGACTTCCACCTCCTCAAAGCTATGGCGTCAGGGCAGCACGTCAAAGCCAGAGCGGGATGCAGCGGTGCAGTCGCCGCTTCTGATGACGCAACCACCGCCCTCGGGGCGGGAGGGGCGGCGGCGAGGCGGGTCTGCACCTGAAGTCGGTCCCAGGTGGACACCGCGCGCCCGAGGCGAGCGCTCCGGACGGGAGCCAATCGGCAGCGGCGCGGGCGACGGAAGTGAGGCTGGCTCCGCCCCTCGCGGACGCGCCTCGCGTTGTCAAACTCGGGCGACCCGCCAGAGGCCCTGTCGTCATTAGTCGTCATTATTCTGCGCCGGAAGACCCTGTCTTCGGGATTCTGTTCCCGGAACCGTGGAATCCCGGGCTATGAATCGCAAGAGACAACTCCTAGCGTCGGAGGCCTTTGGAGTGAAGCGGCGGCGGGCGCCGGGGCCCGTGAGAGCGGATCCTCTGAGGGCGGGCGCAGGTAACCATGACAACCCGGGCGCGGCGGGCCCGAGGGTACCGACCCTTGGAGGAGGACCCAGGGTAGGTAACCATGGCGACCCGGTTGCGGGGCAGCGGGCTGGCCGAGGGCTGGGGCGTCCGATCCCGGCCGGCGGCCTCTCCGCGGTCCCCGCACGCACCGACCTGACCCCGCGCTCCCCGACAGGGTCCGCGCGCGAGGCGGTCCGGGAGCTCGTCCAGCTGTTCCCCCGGGGGCTGTTCGAGGACGCGCTGCCGCCCATCGCGCTGAGGAGCCAAGTGTACAGTCTCCTGCCGGACAGGACGGTGGCCGACCTGCAGCTGGTGAGGAGCGCCCGGGAGACCTCAGCGGCCCCCTCCCGGCCCGCAGCCTCCAGGGCACTCGCCGAGTCCCCCGTCACTGCCCACCAACCCCCTCGGCAGGCAGGCGTTAGGCCAAGGCGGATGCAGAGCAGCTCCCGGGCGGTGGGAGCATTGGAGGTGTGGACCTGCGGGCAGACGTCAGGTCCCACAGGTCTCTCTGTGCTGTTCCCATCTGACTGGGAAAGGTTAAAGAGCACCGGTGTGCTGGAGGTCGCTCCTGAAGGCCTCGGTAGCAGAATGAGTGAGGGGGAGATGCGTCTAGTGTGAACTCCCAGCTTGTCCCAGGGACCGACTAGTGGATCGAATGGAGGAAGGAAGCACCCGGTGGTTGGCTGAGTTGGAGCTGATGGATACATCCATGTACTAGACAGTTGGCCATGACGGCTGCAGATCATTCTAGGCCCTTCCATACACAAGTAAAAGTCATGAGGTGGAATGAGATCCTTAGGGAGAGCAGAGGAGCGCCTTAACCTTGTAACCAGGTTTAGAAGGTGATGGAAGCCGGGGCTGTCTCTCTTCAGACAAGAACACACGGTGCGTAGGTACACAGTGTTTAAACTGCGAAGGAGTGCTTCACAGGATCCTTGGAGACAAGGCTTACGGATCACATTCACCTCCCAGTTAAATCCAGTGGACAGATTTCAGTTTCTATTTTATTAGAACTCTTCACAAACCACTGCCTGAGTCAAAGGTTTTAAACACCATGAAAGCCTTGCTGCTGCCGGCTTCCTCTCCACGCTTCCTTCTCAGCATCCTTCACAGGGTCCTCCTGCTTAGCTTTGCCCGAACATTGTTATGGGGTTTCTGACCCCTGGGAATAGACTGCAGACTCAAATCCAATTATATTTGAAAGATTTATTGATGAAGGCTAGCAGGACGACAATCTCTGAGCTAAACTTGAGATTGCCATTCCTTTGTTCTGGTTTTTTTTTTTTTTTTTTTTTTTTGAGACAGGGTTTCTCTATATTCACTCTGGCTGTCCTGGAACTCAGAGATCTGCCTGTCACTGCCTCTCGATTTGCTGGGATTAAAGACCTGAGCCACCACAGCTTGGAGATTGCCATTCGAAGGGGAAGTGAGGGAAGGGTTTTTAAAGGTGAAAAACACAAGAAGAACTTTAGTATCTGCACAGCAAGCCAGGAGCTGTTCTGCTCTGCCCAGATTGCAGAGTCAGGGCCACTGACAGATAGTCCTTGACTGTCTGTGTAAGCAGAGACAGAAGCCAAAGGTCAATCAGTCATAACAAGTAGGTAGTCATGCCATCCATTTCTGAATGGGGGGGGGGTGTCACTGAGTCAGGGTTACTGGGAACTTTTTCCAGGAACTGGACACAGACAAATGGCTAGTGGGTACCAATATGGATGCCTAGCTTAAAATGGAGTTTCTTTATCCAGCACAACATCAATAAATTATTTTGGGCCGCCGGGCGGTGGTGGCGCATGCCTTTAATCCCAGCACTCGGGAGGCAGAGGCAGGCGGATCTCTGTGAGTTCGAGGCCAGCCTGGTCTACGGCGCGAGATCCAGGAAAGGCGCAAAGCTACACAGAGAAACCCTGTCTCGAAAAACCAAAAAAAAAAAAAAAAAAAAAAAAAAAAAAAAATTATTTTGGGCCAGTGAGATGGCCCAGAGGGTAAAGGGTGCTCCTCGGCGGCCCACCTGAGTTCCATCTCTGGTACCCGTGTGGTGGAGGACTGCACCCCACAATTGCCCTCTGACCTCCTCATGCAGGCCACGGCACTTGCTCCTCACAGAACACACTTTTTTTTTTTTTTCAAAAATCTATAGGAATTGCATGAGAGAAATACAAACATGTTCACACAACTTAAAGTTTTGTTTTTTTTTTTTTTTTTTTTTGGTTTTTCGAGACAGGGTTTCTCTGTGTAGCTTTGCGCCTTTCCTGGAACTCACTTGGTAGCCCAGGCTGGCCTCGAACTCACAGAGATCCGCCGGCCTCTGCCTCCCGAGTGCTGGGATTAAAGGCATGCGCCACCACCGCCCGGCAAGTTTTGTTTTGTTTTAAAACATGGTTTTAATTTGTAGCCCAGACTGCCTTAAACCTGAGATCTACTTCAGTCTCCCTGGTGCTGGGATTTCAGGAGCCCACCATGACACTTAACCGTTGGTTTTTGAGTTGTTTGGCGCAGGGTTTCACGTACCTCAGGCTGGCCTGGAGCTCACTTGAGTAGTTGAAGATGACCTTGAACTCTGATTCTCTTGCCTCTACTTCCTAAGTGCTGGGGTTACTGGTGTGCACCACCATATAGGGCTTGCACCTGCCTTTAAAACATTTACAAAAAAAATACTCATGTAGGCAAACTATAGACCATGATCAGCTCCCTCCATAAATCTGACCGCTGTAACTGTCCGTTGTGTGTGTGTTCTATGTATACTATATGTGTGTGTATGTTCATCAAGAACAGCTTGATTTCATGAATTTTTTGATAGTGAGATCATACTGTATGTCTTACATTCTGTTCTTGTTGCTATAAGAACATGCCAGAGGCTGTGTAGTCTACATTAGAAACAGCAGAATTCATTTCTTACAGCTGTAAAAGCGGACACAGTGTCTGCTGAGGGTTGGCTCTCCCTGCTTCCAAGACTGTGTTGTCACTGTGTCCTCAGTGGCAGAGAGGAGGACTGGGCAACTCTCCGGAGCCTCTTATCATCAGGGCTTTAGTTCATGAGGATGTGGCCCTCAAGGCATACCTTCCAGGGGCCCTGCTCCTTACTGCCATCATTTTGTGGTGTTGGTGCTGGACATCGTAAGGATTTCTGCCATGTATTAATTACCCAGTTTCGGCAATCTGAAGAACAGACTACAACACTATTTATTCAATTCTTGTTGAATTGGCTGGATATTTTTAAGATTATTCCAAGTTTTTTGTAACCATAGTTAATCCACTTTTATAGGTTTCCATATAATCAGCCTATTCCAATTTGTTTATTCTTGTGAAACGAATGTATTTTTGATTAAATTATGAATTTCATCTAAGCTTTAAAATTATATTTTCATCAGTGATGTGTTAGAAGCATCTTCCTACCTCATTTGTGATCCTCTTTGTCTGGGGTTAGTAAGAGCTGTGCCCCATACCCCAGACTTCTGTTACTATGCTCTTACTGGCTCTCTGGCTTATGTGACTTTGTGACCAGAGAATATACACAAGATGGCGATGACCCCATGCATGGCCTGTTTTGCTAAATGTTATATATGTGTATTTGAAAAAAATTATTCAATTACTAATCTCTCTAGCTGAGGTTATAATTGAAATGCTCTGTTTCTTCATTGATTATTTATTCCTTTGTTCTGTATATTTATGAGAATTGGATTCATATACTCCTGTGATTTTTTTTTTTGGATTTGTTATTGGCTCTTTTTATTTATTTCTTTTTTTTACATTTGTGTGTGTGCGTATATGGAAGTCAGAAGATAACTAGAGGGAATCTATTCTCTCCTTGGGGAAGGGAGGGTTAAACTCAGGTCAGCAGGCTTGGAGGCAGAGTCATCTCGCCAGCCCTGTCACCAGCTCTTAAAGTCCTTATCTTTATCATCTCTTGTTGCTTTCTCCTGGAACTCAAATTAAATAGACGTTGATCTTCTCTTTGAACCTTTAAGTGCCTTTAAGGCACTTCCGTGGTCAGTATTTTTGGATCTCATATTATTGTATTGAACAGTTTATAATCTCCCTTAGGTTAGTAATTTGTTTAAAAAGATGTATTTTACTTGTTTGTGGCTCTGTGTGTGTGTGTGTGTGTGTGTGTGTGTGTGTGTGTGTGTACACGTGTACATGTACATGTGTGTGTGCCCTCAGAGGCCAGAAGAGGGCACTGGATCCCTGGAGCTGGGGAGTTACAGGTGGTTGTGAGCCACCAGACATGGTAACTGAACTTGGGTGCTCTGCAGAAGCAGCAAATATTACCCACTGAGCGTCTCCCCAGCCCCAGATTAACAGATCTCATCCAGATGTAGTAATGTATTCCACACAGTCACTGAGGTCTTCACTCACTGACTTCATGTCTCAGTTTTAAATTCTCTGCTGGGACTTCTTATTTTGTTTTGTTTTTGAGACAGAGTCTCATTATGCAGCCCTGGAAGACCTGGAACTCACTGTGTAGACCAGGTTACCCTTGAACTCAAAGATCCACTTGCCTCTCCCTCTGAGTGCTGGGATTAAAGGTGTGTGCCACCATAACTGGCTAGGATGTGTTTAAACCTTCACCTTTTTTTCCCTAAAGATTATTTTGTATTTTATTATTATTTTTGGCCATGTATAGTGGCATATGTCTTTAATCCCACCACTCTGGGGGCAGAGGTAGGTGGATCTCTAGGTTTGAGG